AAAAAAAAAAAAAAAACAGCTAAAAAGTTAGGAGGTGGTTGTGTTTGGATGAGTAACGGTGCAGTTTGGTGTAAAACAACATCGAGCCACCATAAAAAGAAAAGAAAAAACGAACAAAAACGTTTCCAACCTAAAAGATGTTTACATGTAAATAACGGGACCCAAACGCATAGTTTGACTCGATAATCAATTTTGCCTCATTTTTCTATATAATTATATTTAATTTGGTGCAGTTCTATTCAAAACTGCACATAATCAAATAAAATTGAATACTGAATTTAAAGAAAAAGAAAAAAAATCAAACAACACCACAATATTGAAGAACATCGAACCGAAACCAAATCGAAAAAAAATTACATACAAAAATTAAACTAAATCGCACCAAATTGCACGACTCGCCCTTATTTTTCAATTGACAACTTTTTTTTTTTTTTTTGTGCAATAAAGGAGGCTAAAACGCCTAAGCTAGAACTCGTCGGGGGTATGAGACCCCAATGTTATCATGTTGAAGCCACTCGCCTAGCCCAGTAGGTATACTTGAAACTCAATGCACTCCAATCGGGTATGAGGCCGCTAAGCTTGTCAGGTGGTCAGCCGAAATATTCGCTTCTCTGTGGATATGTTGTACACGAACATTCCACTCCTTTTGCAATAAGTCCGGATGGCCTTAACCATGGCGTCGTGAACACCAGAGGAACCATCCACATTCGTCACCATCCGCATGACACATTGACTATCAACCTCAACAATAACGTTTCGATGCCCCAAATCCCAAGCCAAAGAGAGTCCTTAAAAAAGTACTCAGAGCTCTGTTCCTGTGATGGTACAAGCACCGATATTCATAAGAAAACCTGATTGCCACTTGAGAGTCACTACTTAAATACCGCTCTTCTCAAGATCCAACCTTCTCTAGTAATGAATGGATTTTCTTTATTGACCAAAGAAAGCCCAATGATTGAAAAGACCAAATAATCACAACACTCCACGCAACACGTACATACTCAAAAGGCTAAAATGGTTAATTCACCTTAACCCAACAACCCCACGCCCACCAAAAGCAAGAAAAAATCCCACCCACCATCTCCAAAACCACTGGAAACACACAAAAATAAATAAATAAATAAATAAAAATTAAAATCCATCAAAATGCCCACAGACAATTAACATCAACCAACTATATATACACACAAATGAAAAATCTCCTTTTCTCAACAATCCAGAACACAATCAAGATTACCAAACAAACGAACAAATCTCGTTCTCTCTAACACTTCAAATTACTAGGAAAACAAAAATGAGCGGTACAAAGTGCAGCAGCAGGGCTTGGACAGTTGCGGCGGCCAGCGTCGGGGCCGTAGAGGCGCTGAAGGACCAATTGGGGTTTTGCAGGTGGAACCACGCCATAAGGTCTGTCCACAACAATGCCAAGAGCAATGTTACGAGGTCGTCAATTGGGCAAGCCAAGACAAAGCTTCAAAATGATGTTGGTCCGTCGGATAAAAGGCTCGGAGAATCCGAGGAGTCTCTTAGGACAGTCATCTACTTGAGCTGCTGGGGTCCTAACAATTAGTTCCAAGTCGTAATTTTGTTAACATATGTAGAATTTCGTTTTTTTTTTTTTTTTTGTATATATAAGTTGGAATATTTTTAATTATTTTTAATTAATTTATTGCTGGGTCAATTTGCAAGTTGATGATTATGACACTCGAGTAGTGGGGTCCCCATCACCTCTTTTTTCCTGTGTTCTGATATCATTTCATCAAAATGGCAATAATTGAAGACTTGAAGTGATAATATTAATCTCTCATATACACTGGTAATTGATGCTCATGATAATGATCGTGTACCTTATTTTTGATTGTGATATAACTAGTACTATTTTTTTTTTTTTCTACTCATCTATGTAAGAAATTAAGAATAATTATAAACATAATGAATGGCACAGAGTCTAACATATTAAATGCATGGCAAGATTATGCTATTTTATAGATAAAGTAAGATGTTAACTATCTCTAACGAAAAAGGTTCCGTAACGGGACCTTAGTCTTTTTACACCTCAATTATGTTAACCTTTTGTAGCATTATCCATAAGATATATAATAATATGATACGTATATCAGTATATGGCTAGCTAGCTCGCTCGCCGTATTCAAAAAAGTAATTTGTGTAGTGCTTTTAGAAAAAAAAAAATAAAATAAAAAGGGAATAGAATAAGAAAGTACTATTTTGTAGTGGAATTACAGTAGAAAGTGGGAGTAAAGGCTGGTTATTTTATCAACTAACAAGCGACCTTTTGATGTAGACAAAGCAATAGCAATTATTGATCAAAAATCAAAATCCATTAATATTGATTAACGAGCAATTTTGTGATGCTTGTTTAAAGTAAAGCTAAAAAGACAAACAAATGAAATAATTTCCTGTTTGTCATGTATATATCACTTTTTATTTATTTTATTTTTTGAAAAATAATAATAATTTACTTTTTATTTTGGGCATTCTTGTATAAATTAATGCTACTAACGAGTTCATTTTATTTCATATTTTTCTCTAATTAATCATGCTACCAATGAAATATACAATATGATAAAGGATACCACGAGGCATACTTTATCAGTCAAGTTTTTTTTTTTTTTTTTTTTTTTTTTTTTTTTTTTTTTTT